ACACACACACACACACACACACACACACACACACACACACACACACACACACTATTTTGTTTTTGTTTTTGTTTTACAGGACTGGATTTCTCTGTGTAAAACAACCCTGGGTATACTGGAAATTGCTATGTAGACCAGGATGTCCTCACACAGAGATCTGCCTTCCTCTTCTTCTTGAGTGCAGACCATGATGCCCGGCCATACTTAAAAAAATATTTTTTTTCAGTGATTTCTCTGTAAAAGTGTTTACCTTCTTTGGCTAATCACCAATATAGAAGTCTTTTTATTCCTGGGGATATATTCTAAGATCCTCAGTAGATGCCTAAAAGTAAGATAGTATTGAAATTCACTGTTTTTCCAGATAGATAGATACGTAAATATATGTATATATACATTACTGTACCATATGCAAGTTGTAGATATCATGATATTACTCTGATACATATATTGATATATGAGCGTTACCTTAAAATGCTGTAAATACCTTAGACATTTAAAACATATCTAACAATATGATTAAATTGATAATCTATATTTAAAATTTTCAAGCCGTCCCAAATATGTGCTTAATGGGTTTTTAAAAAAGAGAGAGAGAAACCAAGGACCATGAGTTTTTACATCATTCTCAGTTCTCTTTAGTCTCCTTTAATTTACAGCAATCCCATCTCTTCCTTTTTCTGATTTTCATGGCATGATAGATGTTTTGTAACAGTATGGCCCAGTTGCCTTTCCAAATGACCCACCATCTCAGGATAGTTGGTTGTTTCTTCGTGATTAAATTCAAGTTGTACAGTTTGGATAAAAATTTTGCAGAGGTGCTGTAATATCCTTACTTTCAGACATCCACTAATGGCCTTGGAATGTATCCCCATGAATAAAAAAAGCTTCTGCATTGGTGACTAGCCAAGGAGGGTAAACATTCTTCCAGGGAAGACAATTAAAAGATTTTTTAATTAAAATAATTATTGTGTGCATGTGTATAGTGGTAGCATGTGTGTGTGCGTGTGCATGTGTGTGTACATGGGGGGGGTAGAGATGGGGAGGATTGGAGGGAATGCATACCATGGCCAGGAACTACATAATAGCTATTGGTTCTATTATTAATAATGCTAAGTTTGATCTCTCCACAATAAAGACACCTTTCTCCTTTGGTAATTAATCCATAATTAGGGGATGTATGTATGTCTGCATAAATTTCTTCTTCTCAATACCATTTTGCCTATATCCCCTATTAGTGATCCTTGCTTTGATTTACTTTTTTATATTGCTCACTGCAAAATACTGATTTTTGTAAACCTGTCAGTCCATATAATTTATTAGTTAGCATTCATCTTTAAGACGAAAGGGGAGGAGGTCCTCCCCAATCCGTGGACTTGGAAAGTGGCAGGAAGAAGCTGAGGGAGGGAGGTTGGGATTGGGAGGGAATAAGGGAGCGGGATACAGAGTTAATAAAATGTAACTAATAATAATAAACAATTAAAAAAGGGAAAAAAACTCACAAAAAAAAGAAGATCCTGTTTTCCCTCTGTACTTGAAACACATTTTCTTGTTAATTTAATTATTTCTAGTGGGAGGCAACACATACAGGAAGGGCAAAGGACAGTTCTGTTAAGTCACTTCTGTCCTTCCACCTCTTTATGTGGATTCTGGAGATCAAACTCACATCTCCAAACTTTGGGCTGTGAGTGCCTTTATCCACAGAGCTGTTACCAGCCCCAATTCCTTCACAACTTTTTAAAAAGCATCACTGTGAGTCATGTGTATATGTGTGTGTGTATGTGTTCCAAAAGTGTAAAATACTAGTTTCAAAGGGGACTCTATTAACCAATTTCGAGACAACTAGAATAGAGAAAAAGAAAAAGAATTCAAGTAATAGATTATATCATATTGCATAACACACACACACACACACACACAAGGCTATCAGCTAAAGGCAAAGTATTTATATGCCCAAGACTTGTGGCCGATTTCTCACTTAGACTCACCACATTATATGAGACTGACTATATGAGCTTATAAGGGACATTTCATATTCAGTTCCTAATATTCTGCCTGTATACTAGTGCCTGAGTGCCATCCTGTTTGCTGTTCCCTCTGCATGGAATACATCCAACTTCATCTTCATAAGACAAAAGGTTTCTCACTTCATTTTGATTTTCAGTCATAGATACATATCAGAGAGACCTTGCCAGAACCTATCTCAATTTACCCTCTACCCATTTCCCTGGTTCCATCTTTCTTCTTCATAGAGCTTGTTATCTGACATTGCTTACTTTCCTTCTGTCTTGCTCAGTGTAAATTCTAAATTCTTTGAGGGTAATGATTTGTTCTTTTTTCCCCCTGTGCCATATTCTCATACCTAGACAGTGTCTGGTTTTAACCTCATGCTTAATAGCTATTTAGAGAACAGGTGAATTTATCAACAATTTTACCATGGTATGCTAAGAAATTCTTCACAATTCCTTCATTAATTCTCACAGTGACCTCCAGGCTAGATTTCTGCATCATCCTTTCCAACTTAAGGGTGAGGAAAATAGGTGTATTATATTATGTGATAAAATGGTGAAATAAGGTCATTTAATGGAGGAAAGGTTGTGGCTGGGACAGTGGGAGTATCAACTGGGTGTTGCATTTCATTCACAGTAAGGAGGCAGAGAGCTTGGGCCAGAACTTGAGCTGAGCTATAATCTGTAAGATCTGTCTTTTAGTGACCCAACTCCTCTATCTTGGCCCCATCTCCCAACAGTTCTACACCACCCAAAGCAGAGCTTTCAGCTGAGGACCCAAGTATGCAAACACATGAGCTTTTGGGGGATGTTTTACCCCAGGATTTACATGTAGAAAGTTAAAGAGCTCAGAGAAGAACTGAAGCCTCTCTGACCTGAGCACTGGGGTCTGCCTATTCTGTGACTCAAAGCAGAGACAAAGTTCATTTCTTCTTGTGCATGTTAGCAACTTTATGTTTTAGCACTGGTTATAATTATAATTATAATTATTATTATTAGTAGTAGTAGTAGTAGTATTTGCATCATTCAGTGAAGAACAAGATCCCCAAGTACAGTAAGTGCAGCTAGAATCCAGTACAAGGAACGTGGAGAGCAAACAAAAGTTTCCACTGAGATGTGAGGTTCTGGATAGAACTGCAGAACAGGAGCACTGTGAGAGCTACATTGGGATGACACCCACACATGGGGACAAAAGGACCCCAAAAGAAAAACAGGCAATGCCAAAGCAGGACAAAGGTTGTTTCAGATTTGCTCTAGACAGTTCAAGCCACTTAAGGCCTAACTATGGCAGCCTCTTACACTAGGTACAGTCATGGTGAAAGAGAGCTGGTGTTATTCACCATAAACAGTATCTGCACTTTAGCAGAGTATCTAGTTCATATTCATTCTAGGGAGTGAATAAATCAAACATGGCCATTTCCTAGCATGCCCTAAGGCTAAAGAGCTAGGAATAATCTGGGCCTTAGAGGGAGGCCGCTTCATATGGAGACTCTTGGTGTAGAGGCAGTCTCCCTCTGAGTGAGTGGGGCACATCTTTTCTCCACGCTCTGTCTGGCAGCAGCACACAAGGAGTGAGATCTCCTGGTACCATGAGCTCAGGTGAGTGGGTGACCCCTGTGGGCTCGTGAGCAGAAGGCAAACCACTATCACCTAGCATGGTAGAAATGCATGTACACAAATGAAAAAATGCCCTTATTTGGCTCAGCAATATCCAGGACAAGGATAGGATAGAAAAAAGTGGGAGTTGGTTCTAATCTTTCCCTTGTCTGTGGATGCCAGAAACTTCTTCTCTCTTATCCTTCAGCTAATAGGGCACATATCCCTAACGTGACATTTGTTATGTTGATTCATCATTGAAATTGTTTACGGGCACTCTTCAAAGGCCCAGACTGGAATCATCCTATTTTACTCACCTAATAGGCCTCCTCTGATGAGCCTCTAGACTAGGGGACTGTCAGACTTTGCTGCGTGGTTATCTTGGGTACATATTATTTTAATGGTAGCCAGGAAGTGGTAGCAAAGAATTATGGTCAGAGGCCCTTTCTTATGGCAGAATCCTTAGCCACCATTTTCTCTGTGTTGGACATAGGGGAAGTATTACAAACTCCCATCAGGAGATACTGGTACCACTAACTGGGTAATAACAGTCCATGATGTAATATCACTAGGGCAAAGTGTGTGATGAAAGGGCCTCTCTGCAACACCCAAGAAAGAGAAAGCCATGCCAGAAGAGTCAGGGCAGATACCCTGGGCCAGGGCCAGAGCTTTAAGAGTTTGTGTTCAGGGATTCGATCTGGGTGTTGCTGTTTCTGTGAATTTCGCAAACTCGAGTGAACTCTTAAGAATGGAACTCAAAGCCAGGGCTTCTCTCTCTCTCTCTCTCTCTCTCTCTCTCTCTCTCTCTCTGTCTCTGGCACAGGGGCAGATGCACACCTGGACCCACAAGTCTGACCTTTGACTTTGCCAGGAGGTACCTGAATAAGTGGTATGGATTCTGGAAGGAAGCTGCTCTCAGTCATGCCCCACCCACTGACTATAATTCCTTTGCCCAAAGATTCAGCCAGAAGAAACACTTAAGCTGAGTTTACTCTGAAGCAAAATTTGAGTCAAAGATTAGCATGCAAGAAACTTGTTGGCCACTAATTTTTTTTGAGTTAATTTTGTATCCGACCACTTTGCTGAAGGTGTCTATCAGCTGAAGGAGTTCCCTGATAAAATTTTTGGGGTCACCCATGTATACTATCGTATCATCTGCACAAATAGTGATACTTTGACTTCTTCCTTTCTGAACTGAATCCCTTTGATCTCCTTTAGTTGTCTTCTTGCTCTAGCAAGGACTTCCAGAACTATGTTGAAGAGATATGGAGAGAGTGGGCAGCCTTGTCTTGTCCTTGATTTCAGTGGAATTGCTTTAAGTTTCTCTCCACTTAGTTTGATGTTGGCTATAGGCT